CGCTAGATCTAATAATACTTATAATTAATTTAATTTAAATATATTTAATATAATATTAAAGTCTTTTTAGTTAATAATATAGAAGAATATATTATACTTTCTATTCTAATTTTAACTATCTACTAATTAGTAATCTAGCTAATATACGCTATAATAATATATACTTTAATCGCTTAGCGCTTTTAATTATAATAAAATAGCGTTATAAGATTTTAAGTTTTATTAAACTACGAATTTTTACGAAATTAAATTAATATACGCTCTAGTATCGAGTAGAGTAACGAGTTACCTCTATTTATTCTAAAGCTTTATTTACCCCTTTATAAGAATAGAAGAAATTACCTCTATTAATTATTATTCTTATCTTACTTCTAAGACGATTATAAGATCGAATCTTTTTTTATTAATACTACGTCGATATAGGCTATAGACGATTTATCGAGATCTAGATATTTAGATATTTAATAACCCTATTTTTTATAATAAAAATAACTATTCTTTTTATAATTAAGATTAAAGGATTTAACTTTACGCTTTATATTATTATCTTAAATACGCGCTACGTAAACGCCGCCGTTTAAAGCTAATTTAGACTTCGAAATTCGATTCTTTAAAGACTTATCCTTAGTAAACCCTCTCGAAGATTTTAAATAAAAACCGCCGCCGAAGCGTATACGTTCTAAAATCTTTTCTTATATAATAGCCTAGATAAGAATTTCTTTTTATTATTTCGATATACTATTAATACTTAAAATCTTATTCTTAAGCTCTAATCTAAGCTTAATTAAGAAGAAATTAACTTAATATTTCTTAGAAAATAAGATTATATAGATCTCTAGCTTTTTTAAATAAGTTTTAAAAATAGATATCTTCTAATTAAAGCGTTATTTAACCTCCTCCCACTTTTTATATACGAGAAAATAACGATTTATTAAATCCGCTACTAAATTAAGTAAAAACTACTTAAAGAATTTGAAAGTTATATTCTTTAGACTATAGACTTAGTAATATCTATATTATTAAATATTAAAATCGCCTTCTAAGAATTATATATAATAAATAATTCTTAATTAATTAATAGTAAAATACTTAGAACTTATAAGAAACTTAATTTCGACTTCGCGGAATTAGCGTAGATACTCTCTCTTACTAATACTCTTATAAGAACGTATTCTTTTAAAGCGAAGTATTTTCGCTTTAATTAATATATTCGCTAGAGGCGCGATAGTAATTAATATAGATAAGTCTTCGCTAATTATAAACGATAAGCTAGTATTATAAAGCTCGCGATTATAAACCTTTAACGTAATTAATTTATATTCTTATTTTAGACGACGATTTTCGACTTTAGCGATTATAAGACATTTCTCTATAATAAGATCTTCTACTAATAAGAAATTCTCGAACTCATTATCGACGCTATAGCGGCTTTCGATATCACCTTCATTTTCTATTATATAATCTAGAGATAAACTTAATATCGTAATAATAATAAACCTTTTCCTTTAAAAAATAGAGAGATTAAAATTATAAAAGTATAATTTATTAGCGATTAGCTAGCGAGTATAGACTATAAAAGATATAATATCGTTATAAGATTTAATAATATATTTAATAGTAGAACTAATTTCTAAGAAATATTAAAACTTCGAGATATACGAAGTAGATCTATATCCGTTAAGCCCCTAGATATATAGAGTATATTATTAAAATTAAACTCTGAAAGAAACTCTAACGTAGTATATATAATATCGACGCCTTAGTATAAGTAGCGCTAAGGTCTATAACGTATTAGATCTAACAACTATACGTTATAAAGAGTAGAAAAAATATATAACTCGTCTAGAGATTGAGGTAGAGACTTTATAATATAAGAAAGAGCTTAAAGAATAACGTACTACTATCGTCCGCTATAAATAAAAGATTTATACTATTATTATTTATCGCGAGAAGAAAGAATAGATAATTATATAAAGAGGTGCTAGAATAATAATTAAAGAGCTTCTAAATAAGATAGAGCTATTAGAATCGATATAGATGTAATATTAATATAGGTATATTTAATAAGATAACTAAGATATCGAATTATATAGATAGAAGAGAGGCATTAAGTAGTAGATAAATGCCTCTATTAAGATACGCTAGGCCCGAATAGGTAAGAGGGCTAAGTAATATATTAAGGATATAGAATACGCTCGTAATAAGAGCTTAGAGAGTCTTATTCGTCTTAAATTCTTACGATAATAAAGAGGGATAAGAATATAAAAAATAAATTCTATAAGTACTCTATAAGGATCGTATTAAGAGTATAAAATGGATCGTAAATATCTATTAAATAATTTAATAAGATTAAAGACCTATACGTTAAAGAAAGCTTCGATATTTATATTTTAAATATCGATCTTAATATAGCTATAGAGTAATACGATATTAATAATCTTAGTAAGATTTGAGAATAAACGAAATTTATTTATTTTAAGAGAACTTATTAGAACTTTATTCTAAATATTATATTTATCGAATAATAAAAATAGCGAGTTAAGTCTATTACTATAGTCGAGTAATAAAAGCGTTCTAAGTATATTCTTAATATAAAGCTTATCTATATTAATCGCATCGATTTTAAAAAAGATATTTAAGCCGTAGACGAGCTTATATAATCTTCTTTTTATCGTTAAATAAGAATTAATAATCTTAAAGATTAATATACTATTATTCGCGATCGATAGAAAGCTTTTAATAATTATTTAGAGTAATTAATTACTAGATAAAAATATTAGACTACGAGTTATAAATATAAAAATATCTATTAAATCGATAAGAATAATAAGTATTATAAGATAAACGCTATAATAAGAGAGAGATAAACTATTACTATTTAAAACGATTAGATTATTTAATATTAGCCTTCTCTACTTATATATAAAGTCTTTATAAATATAAACTCTAGCGTTAATAATAATAGTTAGAAGAAGAAGAAGATAATTTTAATAAAATAAATAAAGGCTATAATAAAATAATAAATAAAGCTCGATTTATTAAAGAGTATAAAGTTTATAGTAAGTATAGCTAGTAAAGAAAGTTAGTCGTTATACTTATAGTAATTCTATTAATCTTTTTCTTATTAGCTTTCTTCTTATTAGCCTCCTCTTCCGTCTATATATTCTTTTACGCCGTCTTAATATTTTAATAACTATTTATAGTAGTAGTTAATTAATATTTCTTTTTCTTCTTCTTCTTTTACTACTATAGAGGTTTCGCGAATAAAAATATCGTCTTTATAATAATTAAGTTTTATTAATACGCGCACTAAGGAGGAGAATATTATTAAGCGCTTCTAATAGTAAAAGAAGAAGAATATAAATAAAGCGGCGAGGAAGCTTTAGATCTATTAGATTTAGACGTTTATTAAATAGTAAATATAGAATATAAATAATATAAAAGCTCTATCTAACGCGTTCATCGATATCTATAAATATATAATAAGTAAAGATCTATTATATAATCTTCTTCGAAATCTAAAAGAAGATTTATTAGTCTTTAAGATCTTATAAAGAAAAATTTATTAATATATCTATACTCTAAAACGATTAGAATAAAAATAGAGATAAAGTAAAGGATTTAATTAATATTATATAGTATTTTATCGTAATTACTCCGCGATCTCTATAGTTAAATACTTTAAATCTTATTTAAATATCTTAATTTTATTATTAAATATATAGTCTATAGTACTATACTTAAAATACTTTATCGTAAATCTATTATAATTATTAATATCGATTATATACTTTAGAAATTCTTTAAAGTTATTCTAAAAGATATATCAAAAGATCTTAAAATAATATCGTATTTACGTCTTAAGAATACTAAATATTAATTTAATAGAATTATAATTAAGCGAGTATAAAGGGAGGTACTTAATAAGATAGTCTTTAATTTATATAGTCTTAATAATATAAGAATCGATATAAACGCTAACGTTATTTAGAATAATAATATTATATTTTCTAGAATACTTATTATAAAGGGGTAGTAATTAATCGATTAGTTAGTTAAGAATATCTTTCTTATTATAATAATTCTTTTTAATTTTAATATAGAGTAGATAGCTAGTAGTAATATATATAGATAGAATATTAAAAGTATTATCTTATTTTATATTACTATAATATTAAGTAGAGTTATCGATAGAAGTATAGGCTATAGATCGTTATATCGTTTATAGCTTAAATAATAACTCGTCGATAAAGATTAGCTACTTCGTCTTAATCTAATTCATAAACGCTTATTATATAATACGAAGTATATTACTTTAAGAATCGATTCTTTAATCCTTCTTATATATAACTCTAATCTATTTTAGAGTCTTATAGATAATAGACTTATAAACCTCGATATTTTACTTCTCTTTTAAGAATCGCGCTAATTCGTCTTAATATAATTATAGCTTTTAACGTTAATAATTAAAAAGAGCGTTTAAAGTAGTAGATAAGAGGCTACGATATCGCTCTTATATATAAATATATCTATTATAAAAGATTACGATATTACTATAGATAGCAAGATTTCGCTTTTATCGATACGCTATCGATACACTAAAACAGGTATCCTTAGCTACGACTTCAGGTCACTAATAGAATTCGAGTAAGAGTTAAGTACGCTGGCGTATAGAGGGATTCTTTCTAAATAATAATATCGCGTTTAAAGTAAGGGCTAAGGCAAAATACCAGAAAAAGCGTATATACCCACTAGCTTCAGTATCGCGAATATTTAATTGAGGTAGTAGACGACAGTGGCTATTGCAAGAGTAGCAAGTATATTCTCTACAATTTTCTATGAATAACGCTAACAAAAAGTCGGAGGCGGAGCTGGGTCAGCTTTGCCAAGCATTCTTATTTAATTTGCAATTCATAATTCCCCCACATTGGAACAGCTATTTATGTTTGATAGTCTCACATCAATCTTCGAATCTCCTGGCAGACTCTTCACTCAAAATCATGGCGAAAAACAATACACGACATGCAGCAACCGATTTGCGGCGCCCTAAAGCTGTCCGCAAACCTGCTCGACCATCAGCCCCAAAATCCATCGACTTTCCCATCAATAAGCTCCCCGCCGAACTCGTACACATGATATGTGTCTACCTCAAGCCGACAGAAATCGCCAACCTCCGTCTCGTCTCCCGCCTCGCTGCTCCTATTGGTCTACAGTACATGGTTCCAGAAGTCCACCTAATTCTCGCAAAAGACAGCTTCGAACAGCTCAAGACACTTGCTGAGCACCCGATAGCCAGCAAATATGTCACTTCTTTCTTCTTCGAAGCCGACAAACTTGGCTTACTCCTCCGTAAACGCTGGGAGCACGTCGTTGCTGGTCCACAATTCATCGCACAAGTCGAAGAACTGCACATGCGGGGCCATCCATGCCCCCACGCCTCTGAGAGAAGCGTGCGGACCTTCAATCGTGAGGTTAGCAAAATGAGCGCAGCACCTCGCCATCACTATACCGAAGAGCAGATGGACCATGCTTTTGAAAATTACTGCGACTTCACCTACTTTCAACAGGGTTCTGAAGAAGCAGCTGTGCAAGAGAAGGAAGTGGTAGAGGCTATGAAACATTTTCCCCCATGTGAAAGAACTCACAATGTCTACTCAGTGCTGCGCTCGGATTCGTACCTCAAGGCTGAGAAAGACGTTCGAGCCAGCCTTCTGCACTTGCTACGAAATTGACAACCCGCGAAACACCAAGTTGGAACCTTTGGGCCTCCGGCAAATGCGTTCCCTTTTGCTTGGAGCCTATCATGCCGGATTGAAAGTGGAAGCCCTGCACTGTGGGGTAGTCAGTTGGCGGATCCTCAAGCAAGACACCGAGACTTTTGCCCGCATGAGGAACAGTGTGTCGAACGTCAAGAATCTGAGACTCGAATTCACTACGGGCCTTGGAAAAGATGATGATTATTCATTTGAAGAGCTCGAGATTGAATCATGTGCCTCATACCTCGAAGCAGGACGACTCCGGGATTTCGTCACCGCAGCGCCCAACCTCGAGCACCTACGAATCGGCTTCCAATTTAACGAACCCATCTGGCCTACCCAACTCGAGTACATAGTCGGCGAGCACCACTGGCCCTCCCTCAAGACCGTCGAACTCATAAAGATCGCCACCAGCGAAGACGAGCTCGTCTCCTTCTGCTCCCGACACGCCAGCACCCTCAAGTCCCTCTACCTCTCCAGCATTGGTTTGTTGGAAGGAGACTGGTTCTCCGCGTTCAACAAGATGCGCAAGATCCTGACGCTAGACTCGATGGTGGTGTTAGGACGTTTGGAGGGGCTGGACGAAGGCTTGGATTTCGAAATGGGTTCTGAGGAGTATTGCCCCGAGCTCAAGGAGGGCATCGAGGCGTATTTCATGGGGCCGTGTTCGAGTGATGAATCGAGCCTGGATGAATTCTTGGATTTCTATTTGCCGAATTCGGATGATACGTGGTCGGAGTGGGATTCGAGTGATGGCTGGTGGTAAATATGCATGAAGATGTTTTGCAAGGCGCTGGCCGCCCACGGAGGAAAATTGTCATGACGCTGGTGCCCAGCTCGATGGATCTTGATTCATTTCTTGAGAGTTCGGAACGTAGTCGAAGGCTTTTGCAATGTTTTGCTCAAACGGTATCAATAGCGATATCGTTGAATAGAGTAACCCCGTTTACAACACAAATTTCGTTCTTCTACAGACTTTTTGGGATCGAAATCCTTATATCAGAACATAACAAAACACAGGGCCGTTTAAAGATCAGGCTTTTTGATTAGTGAACGCCGAAAGAGCATCGAAAAAGATGGAACGTCACTAGATCTATCCCAAATCAAGCAGTATAGAAGCTCTCGCCCCAAAAATCCCGTTCGAAGATATCCCAAAACTCCCTGCGGGTACTCGTACAGCGGCGTAAAAGTCATATATGGTATCATCGAACGACGCATCAAAAGTTCCCGCCCTACTCGTAGCTCTCGTCCTCCTCTTCCATCCTCAGGCCCCCTTGAACCTGCACCCCACCCTTGACCCACTCCTTCTCCTGCACCTTCTCCAAAGTCCAGCGACTCCTCGCCCTCGCCAAAAGGCCCTCCACAACATCCCTCGCGCCCTCCAGCTCCTTCCCTTTCATCCCATCCCACTCCCCTTCCGCATCCGCGTATCTTACCCACTGCCACTCACATCTCGCGATCCTGTGACTGGTTGGGCTCTTCCTCCTGGCTCCCGGGATAGGATCGAATGGTAACCTTCCTTCCATAATAGCGTACAGTAGAACGCCAAGGGCCCAAGCATCCGTAGCACGGCCATCGTATTCTTGACCGATTAACACTTCGGGAGCGGCGTAGTCTTCGCTGCCGCATCGGGTGTCGAGGAGAGGTGATTCTGGGGGGCGCGGGATCCATCGGCCTAGGCCGAGGTCAGTGAGGGTGACGATTGGGGCCGGGTAGGTTTGCCAATTGTCAGTTGTGGTGGTGAGGGTGGCGGTAGGGATATTGACAAGGACGTCTAGGTGATCGCGTTAGCGTACGGATACACCTCTTTGGTGCGCTTTGGATATATACTTTCGAGCTTGATGTCGCGGTGTACAATATATTGCAAATGCAGATACCGCACAGCCGCAACCAATTCCGAGAACATACGGCGGATTAGGCTCGGCATCAGGATTTCTAGCTTCAGGCTTGCCAATTCAAAAAGATCTCCACCGGCGCAGAAACCGAGGATGAGGAAGGTTTGCTGTTCACACATTTTGACGGCTTTGAGGTGTACTAATGATGGATGATGTATTGACTTCATGATTTCCAATTCACGTTTAATCGAGATCTTCATCTTTTTCTCATCTGCACCTCCGGCTGGCCCTTGCTCACAGATTTTGACAGCTACTAAAGACTTGGGTCTGACTTGGTTTTCCTCCAACGTGGTTGACTTATTCATGCCCTCGCTAGTGGCAAGCATCACTGTGCTAAAGGTTCCTTTCCCAAGCTGGTGCAGTCCTCTCCACCTTCTCAACTTGCCTCCACGAACCATATAAGCCTCGTACAGTAGTGGCAGTGGGCCTTGGGATAATTTTGGACTTGATGGTGGACTTTCATGATCAGCACTCTCGGCTCCCCGGTTACTGTCCGGTGGGGTTGGCGGTTTCGGTATAGATATGGCCAGGCCTCGTTGGATTGCCAGATATTGCTCGCGGTGCATATGATCGTCGAAGGGAGAGAGTGAGGTAGTGACGGGTGGACCGCCAGAAGTTGATACAACGATATTCCGAGACCTCGGTATCTGCATTCCCTCCGGCACATACTCGCTGACGCTTCGATTCTTCACATAGGCGGCTGCATTCGCATTGTAGATCTGCGCTTGTTCACTGGTCATGTCTCTTGCCACGAGAGGTATCTTTCGCTTTTTAGACGACGCTCGCGGAAAGTCCATAGGCTCTGAAAATACTTCACCGTCTTCTTCGGCCGTTATTGCAATCGGTGTAGCGTCGCCCATTTCCTCGTCTATTGACCTTCTCCCATAGCCTGGAGATCCCCATCCCGAAATGGGCGAAGGCAATGGAGTCATATCGGCCAGTGGCCCCACCCCTGGCGACGATAGCGCAGAGCTAGGTGTGAGCGAATCGGCCCTGTGCCTCGAGGAGAAGGCGGATCGAATGCTAGAACTGCGGACAGGTAGACCAGCATTGAAGACGGTTTGTGAGGTCTCGGAGATAGGATTGCTGCTCACGGAGGACGCTGACTCTTCGCGCTTCCTCTCACTCAGGTGCTCCGTTTGTAGTCGTAGGCCTGCACTCTGCGGAGTCGCGACGTGGGGCGATGTTATTGTTGGAGGCGATGGGGACGTGGTATCGAGAGGGTGGAGGGAGGCATTGTACTGGAACGATGGCGGAGATAAATTGGGAAATAGTTCGAGAGAGGGATTGTCGTCTGTGGCCTTTTCTTCTTCATATGGGCCGCTGGGAGAGTGGGCGCATCCAAGGGAGTGGGATCCTGGCGCTGCCGGTGGCTGGCTGGATTTTGTGGAAGACATTTGCTCTAAAATACCTCCCTCTTGCAAGGACCAACAGCAATGAGAGTCAGTGCGGACACATCGAGCCGGCAATTGAAGGGTGATGCGACTGAAGCGCGTCGACGTGCAACGAGGTCGAGGTCGACTCTCGGGATGTCGTGCCCATATGAAAGCCCCTTTCCTTGTAGGTATGACGGCTTGTCGACTATCTTGCGATTTAGTTCGAAGAGCTTGGTAATCCAGGTCTATATATTGTGTCGACGACCCCTCTATACCATTGTCACCTGTAATCGTCTGTTCCGAGTATTGCCCAATTGCTCGAATGTCCTACTTATAGTGACTATATAGGAGCCCACCAACAAAAATGCAAGGTTGGCACAGCGGTCTAAGGCGCTGGACTCAGGCTGGAGTATCGAAAGATGTATCAGTCCAAATGTTATACATTGGAGCCTCCATTTCAGGTGTCCACCCAGCCGCTGCGAATGGACTCCCTTCTTCGTCTGCTTCGTCTGTTGTGGCATCATGTTGATAATCCAGCTTTGAATCCACTCCCTTTCTCCTTCACATTGGTATTATCCTTCAATCTTGCAGTCTCCCCTTTGGTCTTAAGACGAAATAGGATAACCTCCCTTTCCGCTTCCCGTTCAATATTTCCAACAGCCAGTTTGGTCGCATCTTTCGACTGTCAAACGAGATGCTTGCAAAAATGTTAGTCTTCCCTCATCACTCTTCAAACAAGCTCTAGGAAAAGCCAATCATCCTCTGATTCCCCGCTAAAATGCCTCCTACGTTGCTCTGCACGCCACTGAACTTGATGAATCCGCAACTCTCACTCTCCAAGTGATTGAACATGCCAGCCAAGGTCTTGAACTGCGACCCGCATCGCACCTTATTCGGACAATGGTATATCTCTTGCATATGCGCAGGGCTCTTCAGATGACGATCGAGGTCGCCCGTAGCAGTGAATCCGCGGCGGCAAAGGTAGCACTGGTATGCGTGGCCGTTCCAGGCGTTTTCAGTAGTCCAGGTCTCTCCGTGCCATTCCAAGAGGTTGTTCGTAATGATGCCGTTTCGATCGCGCTGTCGCAGGGTATGGAAGATACTCTCACGGTTGACGCAGCGTGCGTTTGGGCAAGAGCCGGCTTCGAGGTGATGTGAGACGCCACTGGCGGAAGTGAAGGCTCGTTGGCAGAAGGGGCACGAGACATTGGCGCCGCGATGGGTGCGGGAATTGAGGTGCTGGGAGGACTTTTTGTCAGCTAGGATATGATATAGGAAGGATAGAGAATAGAGGGGTAAGGGAAGGAATACCATGCGGAGATTGTTCCCGTTATCGAACATCCGCCGGCATGGCGTACAGTAATGTTCCCAGTGACCACGGGCGTTCATATGCTGCTCGGATGCCTTCAGGCTGTTGAAAGTACGGGTGCATGTGTCACATTCCCACATGATGGGTGGACTCTTTAGTATTTGCCTTAGAGGATTTTGAATCCAACACGACTTTGGGAAAGAGAACTCGGGGCGAACAGCTACCCACTTAGATATTTGTTTACCCCTTGCTCAGATAGGTACATAATCAGAAAGACCGCATTGATAAGAAGGGAGGCTCGGCTATCGGCTCTATGCACCAGTATGCACGCTCATTGATGAATTTGATGACGGCTTGTTGTTTTTCTATGGAGTTTGTGTGCTACTTATAGTTGTTGCCAAGCACAATAGGCCTGAGATGCTGAATTCCAACACTCATCCTGTCTCGTTGATAATCCGGTTCCTGCATATGATAGGGTAGCGACGACGGACTATCCATAAGTCGACTAGTGTAATGCTTGCTGGAAGTTGGTAATAATTTCGCTTCGGCGAGTTCTGACCTACGGTTCGACCCGAATATTAATCTTTTGCCTCCCAAATGAGGTGATATCAGGGGGAGTTTTCCAGGCGATTTCATGTACATGAAGCGGTCGATGCCTACCTGCATATTAATTATTGATTCCTTATGTTCTTCCTACATGGTCGTTCCACCTACCTACCTACCTATAGCCATTCAACTACTACCGTGTCTCAATCTTCGGGCCAACTCGCACCGAGTTGCCTTTCCTGCGAGCTCGCCAAGAGCCTTATCGAGCTCGTCACGTGTAGATAAAACACGTAGTAGTGCATATAAAAGACGGTCAATCCTGCTGGAATTGCACTGGTTGAGTCAGGGTGCTAGCACTCGATCCCCTCATTGCACGAAATTGGATTGCCTGATCCTTATGTGACGTCTTGGATCTCTAATCAAGGCTCTTGCTTGTCTATAAATATTTAAGTATCTAAAAAAACATACCTCAAGAATAGAAGCTCTGAAGACACCACCGAATCATATCCGCTTACCGAGCCCTTATGTGAAGGTGCAGATCGACACAGGCGCCCATGTATCGTCTCTTCCATCACAGCTTTGTCTCCCGCTCGTATCCTTCACGCAAGTCCCAACCACTCCGCCGCACGCCATGCTCCCAACATCCGTAGATGAAAGCTGACTGTACACGCAGCCGGTCAAGCCGCCACCATTGAATGGGCCTTCTGACACGGGATACTTAATCTCATTACCGTCAAAGGCCTTTGTGTCGTCCCAGATGGCTTTGTCGTTGCAAGGATTGTAGGTTACTCTTTGAGGGTTGGTGAAGACTGATGCTCCTCCTCCCTCTTTCCTAGTTCTCGGCCTTTGCTATCTATTAGCACAATATAGTCTTTGTGTCCTGATCAATCTGCACTGATCCTCCAACCTGCATATACCACACAAGCTACAATGGCGCGTCTCACTTTGGGACGTCTCTCAATATTTGCTGCCGGAGCAGCATGCCTCTTTCTACTCCTCGTGAGTGATTTCACGAACAGTGATGTCTCCATCAGTTATAAGCTGCGTCCGGTAGCAAAGCTGCTGTCCCAGCGGCCTTGGTCAAGCCTGAAGTGGAAGTTTTCATCACCAAGATTGCAGTTCCGTTTGGGAACAAAGCTGCCCCGCAACGAAGCTACCCTAATGGCAACCCTCTATCGCCGTTCTCCTGTGTGAAGAGGGACGATATGACTCTTACCTGGTGAGCTCCCCCAAGTCTTTGTCCGTCTCCCGAATGACTTAGTAGCAACAACATACACTTCTACGTTTCTTGACTTCAGATCCGGTCTTGATTAAGGATCTAGCCAATGACCTACTAAACTCTCTAGGGACGCCGCCAAAGCGCATGGCCTCATTCAACTGGGGAGACTCAATGGATCCAGAACGGAATCCCCGTACCTTAGCTTGTCCGATATGCAGGTACGCCTACTTTTAAGAAAGTTCCGCAAACGACCTCTTTAGTTTCCATTTGCAAGCTCTTTTCCCAAGAAACTAACCTCTGGAAATCCTGCCTCGCGATTGGTGTCGTGGTTCAAGAATCGCGCGGGAGGAATATGCGCTGACTTCAGGATGGTCTAGAGTTCCGAAGGCACCCCTGAAGGTTCTGGCAATGGATGGAGCGTCTATGAGTTCACCGACCTATTAGCCGGACTAGATGACTACAAGTCGGTATTCGAGGACTTAGAGATCTCTCAAGGCAACCAGAACCACTACAGATATGCTAAAAAAAAGTTACAATAGACAGTGACTTTCGGCTTTCTTGTAATCCCGAACTTGAGAAATTTTGACGTCCGCTTAGTAAGCGCCAAGACTTTATCTCTTACCAAACCCAAATTCTCTTTGCCGCGCTGACTCGAGAATCATGGACCAATCCTCCCATATCATGATATCTCTCAACATGCCCGGATCCGTTCAGCACGCTTCCAGCGCCTCTGCCTCTCATGATCTTTGAGGGCATCGAAGACCTGTCTACGCTCAACTACCTACTACAATCCTCACCAGCCGCAAACATCATCGTAGAAAGATACTAGAGATTATAGAGGCCGTGCTGTCCAACTACGTACCCCAGCTACAGCAGCTACTACGTACAATTGTAACCACACGTTCCGATCACTCGACTATAGGTGGTGAACTTGATTCTCTTGAGGCCCTTGACAACCTCCTAGCCACCTATGCGCTCGACAAAAACGCCGGTGCCAACCCAATTTCCAACGCAACGTATCATTATCAGCGGCCAGAAGCTTTACCAAGTCCGCCAGCCATATGCAACAGATCTCCACATCCTTCTTCGAGGAGTTCCTGGGCAGGGCGAACAGTATCAACCCATCCTACCTCGTTGATGAGCTGTGCGACATTTTAAGGACTACTGCGGGAAGCTTCCCGAAGGCCGCCCCTACGACCGCTTAAGTGCGGCCATCCTTCGTGGATTGAAGAACAACGGGTCTACCGGGCCTTGTGGCGTCTACAATTCTACTTCGACCTGGTGACGATCACCAGACCAAGCCTAGCCATTCCTAATCAAGTATGGGACCTGCTCAAGAACGAAGGACCGCACCGCGTCTGGGGTGGGTTCAAATGCTTATGGGAGCTTGACGAGATGGACCAGTGTCTATGAATTTCTGTGTGAATCCTCGAATGCAACAACAACAACGCTATCAGCTCGCCCACCGCACTTATCTAGGCTTCCCGATCTTGAGCCGAAATTTGTGACTAGACAGGTTTAGCAATGTGATACCTATTCCCTACCACGACTACGTGTCAACCAAATGGCGCCAAACTACAATGCATCTCAGTTGCAGCAGTCCAGGAGTCAGCGCGTTTCAATCAATTCACCAATCATTCGATAGGACACTTCATCGTTCCGGCTTCGAGCGGTTTCAGCGTGCTGACTTCGAGCCGTTTTGGGGTCTTGGCTTCAGCGTATGGCTGAGTAATGTGCCGCACTTCGCCAAGCAGCGTGAGCCTCGCTGGGTAGGGCTGGTAAGAAATGGGTCGGGCGCGTTTGAGTTCTACTTCAGGTGGAAAAGCCTCATGGTCGAAAAAGACAAGAACGACACGGGGGCGTAACTAGATAGATCCGTCATTGCCAATTTCATGCATCTCTAATTCTTTCGCAGGATACGCGGAAAATGATAAGCATGCGATTCCAGGGAGATTCAACAGCCACTTGCATCTCACTTCAAGCTCCAGACTGACTACACATTGATCGCAAGACAGTAGCGAGTCCGGGAAGTAATCTCGACATCCATACCAGTCTTAGTCGAGCCGCCTGCTCAATCTACTTGGTTTTTCTTCCCATGTCACCGGGCGACGAAACACAGAGACGCTCGACACAGTGAAATCTTTGGAAGCTGTCAACCCAACGATCTTATTGTACGTGAGACTGTGTCTCCGCCAATCCTAGGCGCCTGATTATGCTCATCTCTCACCGCCGCAGTTTGCCACACAAGCCAGCTGCAGGTACCGGATCCTGGCCGGTTCTCGGTTTGTACAAGCGTGTGGCCCGTGGTGAGATCAAACAAGACAAACCTTTGACTCTGGAGAAAACGGAAGACTAGTTTGAGTATGTCACCCGTTCGGACATCCAATTCACAGGCGTGTGAGCACCCGGGGGAGAAACATTGGGATCATTCCCATCAGATCGGTTACCATATCAAACATTTTTTCTGGCGAGGAACTTCTTTAAGGCACTAGCCTTTGGACACTCGTAAAGGTATGGGGCCATTTTTTGATGCATTTTGATGCTGCATTTTCTTGGATTGATTCTGCAGAAACCGGGTCCCAGTACTTGAATATCAAAGGTTGCAGTGCAGATCAAAGTTGCCGTGTTCTAAGACCACTCTGCAGAAACGGGTCCGACTATTCCAATAGTCACGAGTGCGAGGGATTGCTAAGGATATGTACATGCATCAAAAAGGGTTTTCTATTATGTATGAGATTCTGTGAATGCAGTGCATATCAAAGTTGCTGTGTGTTGAGACAGTCCTATAGGACACGGGTCCGACTTCTTCAACGGTCAAGGGTGCGAGGGATTACTGAGGTAGTGTACATGTATCGAAACGGGGTGTACGTGTGTGAGATCCCTTGACATATGCGGAAAAGCCCATGGAGGCGAAACAATGGGAGCCAGCTCGCCGCTCATGCGGTCCATCTGGGGGTTTACAGAACTGGTTGGAATCTCAGGGTGGGTATCAGCTCTATTCGAAAGGTCATTCCAACCCTCATTGGCTGACAAAGCGCGAACATCTAGGTCTGCATCCATAGGTGGAACCGCTCTACGGAGTAGCAATACGTCATCACTGCTACCATTGATGGGCTCCCACCTTAACCCACTAACTTACATAGACCCTACGGGCTGTTGGAAATCCCGCCTCTTCATGTAGGTGAGTGAGAGGCTGAAAGACTTGGAGGATGTTCAGCAATAGTGTACAAGTATCTACCCAGGCCAGGTTTTTCACGCTTACAGACTGATACAACTTGCTACGCCGCCGATCCCAATGTTCAAGCTTTCGAGTCACGTCGTCATTACCGCCATGAACATCTTGTAGTGATGTGCTAATCATGCGTCATGGAAACGAGCGGCAAATTCGTTGGGGCGCCCAAGTCCAGCCTAACCACGAGTAGCTGATGGTGTAATATGCACGGTAATCTGACCAAGCGAGATCGCACAAGCGCACCACACATTCGCTTGATTAGGTGAAGCTCTTAAGCGTTTACAATGGCAGCTCCAAATCCGAGCATTCGCTCTTTTGATAACCCGTGATATCCCCGTCCATTTCTGAACATGCCATCGTCAACTCATCAATGTCGCTGTCGAAGCCCAGCGAGCGAAGTCCCCTTCTCAGACAAGCGAATGATGCTCAAAACGTGCCTGCCGAGGGCAAACCTCATGACGATGGCGAATGGGGAGTTTCAAATTCCTTGCCTTCACGACATGAGCAGCTATCCAACGCCAGGTTAGCTTTGATTATGGGCAGTATATGGGTAGCTTGTGCCCTGAATACCCATCTGGGAGCTTGAGGCTGATTTGCTTAGGTTGGTGTGGTTTTGATAGCTGTTGGTCAGTACTTCAATACCCTTTTCTTTCATCGATACTTGGATTCTTGCATTTTCTCGTGGAAAAGATGACTCAAGCAGATACTTACACAGATTCAACAATCGTTGCAACCCTCTTGGTTCCAATTTCAAGCTCCTTCTCCTCACTCAAGACGCTTTCTTGGATCGGTTCAGCCTACCTGATTGGCCAATCCGTCACTCAACCCCTCAGTGGCCGCCTCACAGACATCTTTGGCCGCCGCCAAGGTCTTCTGGTCTGCAATTTCGTTTTCGGTCTGGGAACTCTACTCTGTGGCGTGGCTCCGAGCGAATGGGTCCTCATCACAGGCCGCACCATTGCTGGCTTAGGAGGCGGAGCAACGGTCACGATCTGCATGTTCGTCGCTGGTGACCTGGTGCCCCTGAGGAAACGAGGCGTGCTGCAAGGTATCGGAAACATCATCATCGGTGCCGGGTCTGGGATTGGAGGCTTGTTGGGTGGCTGGATCAACGAGTTAGCAGGATGGAGGGTTGCCTTTTTGGTGCAAGTACCCTTTGTGATAGTTGGTGCCGTGATGGTGTTCTTCACCGTCAAAGTCCCTGTCAAGATAAGCGAGAGGTCAGCGCTGAAACGTGTCGACTACCTGGGATCGTTCACTCTGACCTGTGCTCTGGTGCTCTTCCTCCTGGGTCTGAATACGGGAGGCAATGTCCTGCCCTGGACTCACCCTCTAGTCTTGACCGCGCTACCACTATCTATAGTATTTCTCTCCATCTTTGTCTACGTTGAAGAAAACAGGGCAGTCGAACCCATTATCCCGATCCGACTCCTCCTTAACCGTACCGTCGCCTCTGCCTGTCTCAGCTACTGGTTCGTATTCATGGCGTACTTCGGCCTCACATACTTCATGCCCGTCTATCTACAACTTCTCGGCAAATCGCCCACCGAAGCTGGCCTGCGATTCATTCCGTTTAGCGCTGGCGCAGCGGTTGGGGCATTTGCTGCAGGCCTCATCATGAAAGCGACGGGCAACTACTACTACCTCGACAAATGTTCTCACGCACTACTTGTACTTTCCACCGCGCTCACAGTGACGATGAACGCGAATACACCAACCGTGTATCCCTTCATCTACCTAGCCGTGTTCGGCCTAGGAGTCGGCGGCATCCTGGTAACTACCCTCATCGCTCTCGTCAGTGCTGTGGAGCAAGAACACCAAGCAGTGGTCACATCAGCCGGATTCGCCTTCAGGTCGACTGGCTCTGTCATCGGCCTCACGATAGCATCCGCTACTTTTCAGAATCTGCTGCGCGTCAAGTTGCATAGAAGTATCGGTAGCGTGGCAGATGCCGAGGGGATCATTGATAAGATCAGGGAGGATTTCGACGAGATTGGCCGGCTACCGGCTGAGTTGAGGGGACTGGTGCAGCAGGATTACATGGAAGCTGTTCAAGGTGTTTTTATTGTTGTCTGTGGGTTTAGTGTCCTGGCGTCTGTCTCGAGCTTGTTCATGAGGCAGCACAAACTGCACGCGAATCTTGAGAGACGGTGAGAGGGGCCCGAGAGAGTGTGGGATGTTGATATTCTATTGTTCATCATAACGAGCTTCTTCGGCTGTTTCCACGAGGGAGATAAGTCAAAGGAGATCTTAAGCCGTCAAACCGCTCATGCTCACTGCAGACCACTCACATCACACTCTTCTTGATCCTCAAGAGTACCCTGAAGCTTTGGCCATAAATTTCAAGGCTTGTATTGGCCCTAGCGCTTGTTTCTTTTCCTAATGCCCAACCCCAAATCAGACAACCGCATTCAAACATTCCCACACCTTGACTTAATCCCAAGCAAGCAATCCTTGAACATACAAAAAGGATCGAGACTCACTGACTACAATATCCACTGCATTAATCCTCCTCGTCAAACCCAGACCATGATGCGAAGAGAAAAGATGGCATAGATGCCGTATCAGCTTTTGACATTCTCCCTCGTCGAAAGCCGCAGGACTCCGCCCTGTGGCCTCTAGAGGCGGAAGTACGAGAATGTCTTGATACACGAAGTCAGAGTATGTGCTCTTGGTTGGAAGACTACAAGCCGGTGAATATCATTCGAACAGAGAACACCGAGGGGTACCAGTCCACCGAGAACGAGAGTGAGGAAATGGGCGTTGTGGGAGAGTTTACCATCACGTACAACGCATACCAGAACGGGATGTCTGAGAGTTGTAACAGGACGGCGAGCACCATAGCCGGGGCGATGTTGGTGCCGTGTAATTTTTGATTTGTTGTATGGATGGATGGACATTGGGCGGAGGCAACGCGGGAGGCCATGGGAGAGCATTGAAAACCATCGCCGTTGATCGAAACGATCGTGCCACGCACTAGGAACGAGCTGATTGCGTGGCACGATTACTGAGACCCCTTGGTTCATTGCGTCCGCTACACGCTCTGCAGTCATTTTGACCACATGTTGCTGTTGAAGAACCTGCTTAGCAATGCCATTATCGAGTTCTTCGACTGTCTTGTGGAGTGACATTAAGTTGTCGTAGTCCTCACAGGTGTCAGTGCCGTCAAGTGCTGCCTCGTCGTTAGGCATGTAGCCATTATTGAGGTGGAATCCATCTCCTAACATACATCACAAGACATACAATAATTTTCTCCCACTACACCATTCTTGCAAGCTTATTCCGAGAAACGCTTTACGTTAACTTGTTAACCTGTCGTCTGAAGACCAGTCATCGAATGATAATTGCTTTCCAAACTCCTCCACCTGCGTGCTACCCCTCTTTCACGCAAGCTCGATGTGCAGCTCGCTGCATTGGCAACCCTCGAGAATTCCTATGCCGGCTGCTTACAGATACCGAAGGGCATTCAGCATCTTTTGTCGATCCACCACACGACCCTCAGCTGAGCTCCAGCCATTTCTGTTCCCTGTCCTGGAACAAGTCTCCGGTCAAGGTGAAGCGGTGCGAACTCCGCGCTCCAGTGAAAGTCGAACCCTTACTACCATCGTTGGAAGCCCGGCGGTTTTGTTCTAGGATCTGGTTAAGCCAAGCTAGGTTGCAGCCAAGATAGTTACTTCATGAACGCCTCGGACCAGAAGGCCCAGCTTCTTGGTCGCTCGACCTGTGGCAACTGCAGTAGCCTGTCAGTTTAACTACTCCTATTTCAAAGCTTGGGTGCTTTTCAGCTATAATAGCCATCAGAGGCTACATGAAGCCTTTCCAAGCTTTACAGCCATACTGAAAAGCAAGGAAGCCCCAATAATCAGTGTCGCCGGCAGAAGGATTTCACCTGTCGATTTTTCTCTGTCATCCAGAGTCCAAAAAACTCGATGATTGATAGCGCAAAGACCGAGAGTTGCGGTTTACCAGCAACGGACCACGGCGAAAGATCAACAAGGCGTTGCTGAAGCTTGATGAAAGCGCTCACTTTGAGAAAAGGAAGAGATGATGAAAAGGTCAACTGCCGGGAAGAGGAGTCTGAAGGGATGCTCCAGAACAATGCCTTTAATGCTTGCCGTACATGTACATGGCTCAAACTCCGCGCAATGATGCATCTTCGCCATCTCCTACACCGTAGCACCTACAAATCCCTCTCAATCCATAGTAACCACAGCCCCGAGGCCTTTCATCGTCTCAATGATCTTCTCCGACTCGTCCTTCGGTACTCCCTCCTTCATCTGCTTCGGCGCACTCTCCACAAATTTCTTACTGTCCACCAAACTCAGGCCCAGCATGCTCTTGATCTCTTTGATAACTTTCGGCTTTGCCGCCGCATCGAACGACTTGAGTGTGAGGGCGAACAGGGTCTTTTCTTGCGCGGCTGGGGCGGCTTCTTCTTCTTCGACGGGTGCAGCGGCTGCAGGCGCTGCAGCGGCGGAGAACCCACCCATGGGCATGTCGGGGATGTTGAGGCGAGACTGAGAACAGCGAGACAGCGTTAGCTTTCGGATTGTGGGAGCTCGGAGGAGGAGTAGGTGCGTGCAAATCTCCGGCTAAAATGCGAGGTAACTGACCTTGAGGTTGGAAACGAGATCTGCAGTCTCCAGTAAAGTCAATTGACTTATTTGGTCGACTATGGAAGACACCTTAGGATTCGTAGATGCTGCTGCTGCTGTGGATTCCCATCGCCGCGATGGCACTCTTCGTTGGCGTTGTGAGGCCACTGAAGAGGCGGGACATGGTGGTCTTGGTCTTGAAGAGTTGCGTAGTGCCCGCACGCAGCAGCGTGCAGTAGATGTAGAGGAGAGGGACATCGTCAATCAGTGCAATGGTTAGATGTCGCGGAGATTTTGTCAAAGCTTTTTGTCCACTGATTCTTTACATTTCACTAGCGCGATCTCGGTTGAACATCGGTCAATGAACTAACAGTTCACCTTGAAAATACTTCTTTGCGGTTCAAGCAGTGGTACGTAATGGAGCTCTATCTATCAAAGCAGGAGTATGAGATCATACAGCTTGCAGTCATTGCATGGGGTACGTTCCACTGTTGGACAAGTTTGGCCAACTTTTCCCATAAGTATCCAAATGCCAGAGCCCTCATCCGTGATTTCCTGAACGGAGAACGAGAGGAGCCCCCTCCTGAGCATAATGCTCAGCCTGCAGACCAAAACGCCCAGAGACGGCACCCTTGAATCCTCACAGCAGCATCCTATCAAAGAAAATATGGCGCAAAAATCCGAAAAAACCCAACCACCAGCCATCAATGCCCCCACCAAAGAGCTCGAAAAGGCATTGGATTTACTCAGAGCAAAGGATGATACCTCCCGTTTTGTTGGGCTGGCCCTATTGAAGCCTGTTCTTGAACAGGAACTCAGCCGAAAAGGTGGCACAGAAGAGGAGGGCACACGTACAGTGATAGAACAATGTTGGCGTGCACTACCCGTAAAGTTCCTGGATCGACTCTTGAAAACCAAGCTGGAAAGCAAGAGAACAAGAGAAGAAGTCGGCAGCATGGTTGGGTTGGCGGTGGCAGTACTACACGCCTTCATGACGATTATGGACGCTCCAGAGAAGGACGACCGGTTTGTTGGCCGAGTGCCACTGCTGATGTCTGTTTTGCGCTCCACTCCTCCAGAAACTGCCACCCAGATCATGGAAATACTCGCTACGCTGGCAACTACAAGGGAAGGATCGCAAGCCGTCTTCGGTGCCAGAGACAAAGACGAGAAGACGGACCAGAAGCCAAAGTCCTACATATTCGTCACAGTGCTACTGATCGATATTCGCTCCACCATCCCATCTCTGCAAGAAAGGCTACATTCTGCCAAGTACCCTGATATCTCAGAGCGTATAGCTAGAGCCTACGACATAATCTCCGCCTTTATCGGCTTCCTAGTGCAGAGTCTTGAGGCTTTAGACAATGACGATGAAGATGGGGGATCTGGTACCGGATTCCCAGCCCCAATTCCCGGCGACCTCCTCATGAAGCTTCGAGCGAACATCTCAGAAGTAATGTCTCTGACTATCGAACATCTCCGCGACCGCTATGACTCCTCCACGGCGGGCGCGGCTGGCCTGCATCCCTCCGCTCGCACTCTTGTTGAAGGATCAGCCAGTCCCCTTCCAATAGCTTGGGATACATCAAGTGGAATATCGGAAGACCCGTTAACCCTCTCACAGCTTCGTGCATTGTCTCTGTGGCTCCGCGAGGAAGAGAACGACGCCCTTCGCCAAGAAGCTTCCGGTATAATGAATGTCTTCCTTGCCCTGTACCAAGATATATCTGGTCAAGACTTCCGCTATCCTGTCTTGTTATCTCTCGAAGGCATTAGCGAAATCGCCGAAGGCGTCGAAGCTTTTCTCCGCGAAGAAGGCTGGGCCATCCTCACTGCTGACCTAGAAAACAACATACTCCCCATTCCCTCGGAGCACCCACGCGGCATCGAGATTATTCGCGTACTGTTGGCAGTCGTTGAAGCCGATGTCACTGGCCCCGCGAAGGAGGAATGGATGCCTATTGTCGAAGTAGCTCGCCAATCCGTCGTACACGCAGCCGACACGACGAACCTTGAGCTGGGTGTAGCGATCTGTCAGCTCGCGGTAGAGCTCATGGTCCGGGCACCTCGGGGCATCAGGAATCGGAGAAGGAGTGCCGTCGTGGAGTTGCAGAAATATGCGGAAGCACTATTAGCGAAGGTGGATGGTGCGAGCGGCGGGGTCAGGGATGGTCTAGAGGAAGTGGTGCAGGGGTTGAACAGTCTGAGCCTTTGATGCTCGAGAGCGATATTCCCGCCTGTCGCTTCAAGCGGGTCTCCCGCCAGGTTTTTCCAGCTAGCTATCAGAAGCGTGGGTTGAACGGTCTTGCTTTTTAGGCGAGCGTTTCGTTCATTGACGACGCTGTCAGCTAATCTTAATGCATCGAAGAGCGAGAGATACCGAGCTCCTTCCGAGGAACCATGTTCATGAAAATGGGAGAAGATGCTTGAAGTTGAATGAATGGAATTATGGGCCAACTCGCATGTTTTGATTGGAGAGCCGGCTGTAGCCCTGTGTACCCGCTTTCGCGCCTACTTTAAAGTCACGTGTCTAGGCGATGAGACATGAACCTGCGACACGCGTTTTTCACTACTTACTTATCAAAATCACCAACACCAAATCAGATTTTATCGAGTCTATACTCTCATCGCCATGTCCAATCCAGAAACCAGAGGTGGGCTCACCAAGGTCATGATAGAGAAAGCGTTATGGAACTGCTGCGTCTCCCTTTCATTGAACGAAATAATGCCAAATCTCTATCTCGGCGGGTAAGCATCCTTCACACTGTTCCAGGCAGCTATATGCGAAAAGCCATGGTTCAAGTGCCTTACATGTTCCCAGCTATCTGGCAGCCTCAAACATCGACTCCCTCCGCTCCACCGACATAACCTTCGTGCTCACAATAATGAGCTCCGACCTGTCAGCCCCAACTCTCCAAGAGCATTTAGAGCTGGGCATCGTGACGGCGCGATTCAACAAAGATGACAAACCGGCCGAAGATCTTCTCTCCATTTTTGGCTCAACGTGCGATCTGATTGAGGAGAAGAGGGCGGAGGGAAAGAAGGTACTCGTACATTGCAGGATGGGGATTAGTCGAAGTGTAACTTTGGTGATGGCTTATAGTATGTCTCCATCTCCCTGTTCACTTCGAAGTACGCGAATGTATGCGCCGCGGTCGATAACGCTGACTGGCTTGATCCCCATCGTAGTAATGCGGGCGTGGGGCGTGGGATTCCCTGAAGCGCAGCTCTTCGTAAAAGGGAAGAGACCGATGGCGAGCCCAAATCGCGGCTTTTGTGAACAGCTTAGGGTGTGGCACGCGTGCGAGTATGGTGTTGAACAGATCGTAGAGGGAGAGAGGCGAGACAAGGAGCCGTATGCAGAGTGGAAGAGAAGCAAGGGTATTGTAGCCGCGGAGGGATCATAAAATAATTGACGTTTGCTCATCGGCGATGGGTCCAAGCATCACGCCATCATTTGATGTTGCTGATCATACGGCTCCATACCCTTCCTGATCTCCTCCACGATTTCTGCAGCATCGACGGTGCTCTGCGCCTCGAAATCATAACGTTTCGTATCGTCTTTTTCTCTTATGATAATCACCTGGAGAGTTATGGAACGTCAGCAAGTCGGATTTCGCATCGTCAGAGTGAGGCGCTGACCTACCCGGAATGTCTTCGGATGCCTTCTGCTGACTTTACACCCTACAATCATACTGAATGGCACCCGACTTGTCTTTACGCTGCTATCAAACAAAGTCTTCCCCGTCTCTCCGGGTAAGATATGCATGTAATCTTCGTCCATCAGCAGCACTCGCTTGATGCGAAGGCGCGAAAGACATAGGTTGTTTCCTAATGACGTTGTACTTCTTGTACTTAGCGGTACTGTTCAGCATTTCAGAGTTTTGGGCCAGCGGATGCATTAGTTTCCCCTTCCTTTGGCCCTTCGTTGCACTTTCCTCTGCCAGAATCAAGGGTGCATTAGGCGAGCTACTGCCCGGCGACCCTCCGAGACCGAGAGCGCCATCGTTTGCGAAACGTCTGCGTACGAGATCGAGATCTGTGCGAGCGCCGAGAGATTCAACTGTTCGATCTACGGGGGCGATAGTATTGGTGCCGGATACTTTCAAGATTTGGTAGGACTTGTCGAGTTTCCATCTCTTACAGACGATATCTAAGACCTCGGCGAGGTATGTGTCTGTGGTCACCTCGATGGTACTGATTTGGCTGAAGGCTTCGAGACTTGTGAAGTGGATCTTGAGCATCTTTGGTGGACCCATCCGTGGTGTTGAGTGAATTGCAGGAAGGGCTGGCTTGTCTGCTGGCGCTGGCGCTGGTTTCCGAGGTGCTGTCGCAGCAAGGGCTGCTTCTTTTCTCTCGGTCTGACTCTGGCGCTGCGAACCCGCTTCGGGTGCATCCACTTTCGTTGCTTCTAGCAATTTGTCGAATTTGGGAGTGAGCTTCTTGTTTTCCTGTATCTGAGCTTGAGTAGCCTCTACCAAAGCAAACTCATCATATGGCTTCTCTCTAGACCTTCCTCGAGGACCACGGTTGTTGTTCGAGGTGAAAGCGACAATGGGCTGCGTTCGGTTCAAAGGAGGGAAGTCATATTCGACTTCTCCATCTTCGACCATTCGTAATACCCAAAGATTAACGCTGAGCCTAGATTCGTCGATAGGGGGTTTCAGGCCTTCTTCGCGATATCTCCATAAGCTCAATCCAATCGCATCTGCCACGGTGACTAATGGGATTTCACCGGAGTCCGTAGCTTGCACATTCTTCAGCAAGGGCATTTCAAATGGTTTGTCCGGTAATTCTGAGAAAGGTGCATATATTCGGATATTGAGAGGGTCCAAAGCTCCTTTTCCAGATAGCCTGGCAAATGCCTCCACAGGGTTCTTGGGCTTGGATTTCCCGGCTCTCAAGGCTTGTCCCAGAAGACTAACGGGTTGGAGGGTACTGATGGGCCGCGCTGGAGGTAGCGGATGAAGAAGAGACGATGGCGCACTCTTCAGCTTGCTTGGAGACTCCTTGTTAACGTTCAATGGTGGCGGCATATCAGTCAATGAGGAAGCAGCAATGTCATCTAAGAGCGACTCTGAGTCGGCCGTTTCTGCAAATTCCGAAGAGAGATCGCTTCTATCTGACTCTGCTTCCGAATCTTCATTGATCGTGGTGGTCAAGTTGCGCATTTGCTGCCGCTCATCCTCCTTGTGCTTCTCAGTCAGAAGGCTACCGGCTTTGGCTGCCTTGACAGGATTAGTCTGTTTGCGCCTTGCTCCGAAAATTGAAGGATCGAGCTCGTTCTCGGACGACATCTCACTGCTTGTGGTCGTGTCCCTCCTAGCCCTTTGCTTCACGGCCTCAACGCATGTTAGAGACCCGCTCCGTAACCTACCCTCGTTTGATCGCCTGGATGGTGATGTGATGAGGACCTCAACTCCATCTGTCGCAAAAGAGCTGCGGATGGGCGACGACCCTGATCGATTCCTCACAGGCATCTTTGCAAACTTGATTTGCTGTGCGGCCCTTCAGATTGTAATTAGTCCTGAAGCGTTGAGAGTAAGAAGACAAATTCTTTACCGTCTACTGCCTTCAGTGTCTTCGTCGCTCTCGTCGCTCAGATCACTGCTATCATCTTCGTCATGTTGTTCACGAAGCCGTCTTCTCTTGACGTTTGGGCCTGGGCCAACTGTTTCAGTACTCCCTCGTCCCGTCACCATACCGCCTTCCTCTTCCTCATCGTCGAACCCCGCGGGAGCAATGCCGGCAGATCTGGGAGGAGCAGCGAAATAGTCAGATGAAATGGTAGTTGGGATTGGCGGAGAATACGTCCGCTTGATGTCCGCGATGTTGGCAGTCCACCCTGCCGCACGGAAGCTGGGATCATTAAGAACACTAGAGTCGACATTGATGAGACGCTCGCCAATGCCATCCTTGTTATGGGTCAAGTATGATGTTCGGAGCTGCCAAATAAGGAAGCTATTCTATAGTCAGAATTAAGAGCTTTCCAAACGCAGTCCATTGCTCATGGGACCGATTCTAGAGTAGGTACGACTCGACCGGAGACTTGTTTCCCCGCTTCATCATGCAATCATAGTACAGGACATACATACTCTTCGTTCTGTAGCAGAGCCATCTGAATAAATATTACACTTCTGGCTACTTGACTCTAGAGATGTCCATCTCCCACTCCTGGAAGGGAGTTCGCATCACTTTGGCGCAAATTGATGATCCTGTCTACTTTATGCAATGCAGGTACTTTATGCCTTTATGGATGAGACAAAGCGCGGCAAGCGGGTAATTTACCGCCTTCGCGCGGGATGCCAAAACATCTACTTATCGAGATCACAACCACCGAGAAGGACATCGAAGAAAGGCTGACAATGGCTCTCGTTGACTACTCCGGGTCCGAATCCGACTCAGAAAAGGAAGAAAAGGCACAATTCCAGAACCTGCCAAACCTAAGCCGACCTCCAACAAGCCTGCCTTCCAAAAGGTCGTCAACCGCTCGAACCCTCACAAGATCAAAGTCAGCCTCCCGGAACCAGCAAAAGCGACGACAGAGGATGGAAATCTGGAATCAGGACCCCCCGCAAAGCGAGCCAAGATTAGCTCAGGGGGAATGAGCGGATTCAACTCCTTCCTTCCTGCGCCCAAGCGCACGGCAGCACCAAGTGAAACATCTGGAATCGGGGGTATAAGAAGAGGTGGACTAGGTAGTGGTGTCAGTCTTAAGACAGGAGCTGCACCAGGTTTCAGCAGAGAACCTGCACCAAGCGTGGAGGAAGGCTCAGACTGGAATGGAGGTACCGAAGGCCGATCAGAGGAAGAGAGCCAAGGGCATAGCAGGCATGCGGAAACGATCATATCACCGGCAGTAAATCTACCAGATATACCGATTCCAGGAAATGGTGTGGAACTGAAGAAGAAGTCCACGATGTTCAAGCCGTTATCCGTTGCCAACAAGAAGCCTCAGAGGAAGAAAGCTCCGCCTGTGGCTAGCCGAGGTGCAGCGGGGTCTACAGAGGGAGGATTGACAAAGCAAGTAAAAGCAACCCCCAAAGTGTCATTATTTTCAGCTGGAGACGAGGTACATGAAACCTCGAGTAATGGGTTGGCAACCAAAGGAACATATCAGCCCATGGTATACCACGCGGACAGCCCAACAATCACGCCCGCTACAAATCCATACACTGAAGAACCCACCATTGCACAAAACTACACTGCCGCCGAAACAACATACTTACCCGACCAACCCACGCGACCGCAACCCCAATCCCTCTCTGCAATAGCCACCGACCTGAACCTCTCGGCCTCCGCCAAACGCCAACTCCTCGGCCGGCACCACAATACCAACAAAACCCATCCCTCCCAGCCCTCCAACATACCCAACATTGTGAACTTCAACACCGACGAAGAATACGCGGCCAACGAATTGCTCCGGCAAGCAGGCGAGACTGTCCAACACAACCCCGTGCGAGGCATCGCTCCGGGCAAACATAGTTTGAAGCAGTTGGTGAATGCGGCTAGCAACCAGAAGGATGCGCTGGAGGAGCAGTTTGCGAGTGGGAGGAGGAATAAGAAGGAGGCGGGGAGCAAATATGGTTGGTGACGAGGAGGAGAAGGAGGAGAAGGAGGGATCTTAAAGGGTGAAGGTCTTTGCATGAGGAGAGCAAGAGCATAGGAAGACGGATAGGGGTGATGTACATATCCTTACGATTTTACGGGTGACGAAAGCGTAGATACCATCCATATAATCGCGATGACTCATTCAAAAAATTTGCCAGGTCCCAGAGACGAGCGCACATAGACAGTATACTACTACTGCCATTCCAAACGCCCATCCCACACATCTTGAGCATACAGACCACCCGGCAGCCTTGTAGACATCCGAACTTCTCCTTCAATTAAGATCAAGACCAAAAGCAAATGTCAAAGAGGTCGCCTATCTCGCCTGTGAGCCGATCTACTCTACCCTCTTGGGCAATGTGCGGCCTCGACCAGAACAGCATCAAGAGAACCAATGATGACAGCAAAGATGTATTGATGAAAACAATGTCATTGGATCTATCTATAGTAGTGTATCCCAACACTGGTGGAGTCAGTCCATCAAAATAACCAATTCCACCAATTCCAATGCAAACCCATAGTGCGATGCAATTCCAACGTCGATCCATAATCCAATCCATGCTGTGATCCAACTCCAACGCTGATCCGTAAATCAATCCAATCGCCAATGCAATACCAATGCGAATGCCGATGTTAATCTCGAACCTGTCAATGCTGATCAATGACCGCTGATACCCAAACCTTCGCTCGTACCATCCACCACATCCACCACTGCCACTGCCCTAATCGTTTCCCTGTCGCTGGAGCTGTCTGAAGTCAGACGTTAGCAACAGTAAGCACAAAATCGACAGCGGTGACAAGTACTTTACCCTCGCCCATCCCATACGCTGTTGCCATCAATGCCACCACCCTAATCAATTCTCTGTCGCTAGAGATTCTGAATTAGACGTTACGCAATGGTAAGTAAAGAGTCGACATCCTGAAAAGCATACCGTCTGCCATCCCACCATTCTCCTAGTTCAAGTCATTCCAGTCCCTCAAATTCATCAGCTTGTCGAAGATGTTCTCGGTCTCGGTGACCGAGCTGGTGGTGTTGTCCTCGAACGGTCTCAAAGTCGCTGGCCTGGGGACTGGGCCTGAGCC